CTCCACCACCACCACCACCTCCTCCTCCACCACCTCCATCACCACCTCCACCACCACCACCACCACCTCCTCCACCACCACCTCCACCACCACCCCCCTCAATCCATGTGGCAAAACATGACCTGAAATAGCACAAAAGTACTGTCAATATCATATTCGACGGGGTGCTACCTCAGAGACCACTATGGATATGTTACCTAGAGCCTGGCCTGGGCATGATCCCCGGTCATGTGCGTTAGCCACAGCCTAACGGGGGAAGCAGCCTTGTTACATGTTATCTAGGGCATGGTATGTGTTCTATGCCTTGTCACATTACCTGGACCAAACTGTTTATATCACCAGGCCTGTGAATGGAGGCTCTCCCAAGCCAGAGACTTCCCAGGGGGACTGTGGAGCTGTAGTGTGGTTGTCCCCAGGGGTCCACGTGTTGGAGGCAGAGTTGAAGCAACAATGAGGGAGTTTTCAAGATATGGGACCGACTGGGACGCATTAGGTCACCGGTGGTATGCCCCTGGACAGAATTACAGTAGTTCTCCTGGGATCCTGACAAATGCCATAAAAGCCTACACGGATGATGAAAGCCTTCTCCACAGAAGAGACGGAACACACTGAAAGTTAAAGCTCTGGCCATGCCCAGTACAGAAACTTTGTTTGCAAAGGGTCACACTGAGCTGGGGAGGTAAGACAGCAGGCTTAGAATAAAACTCAACCCAACTACCTCTATCTGTAAATCAGACAAGAAGGTACATCTGTTTAATAAGAGTTCGCAGTACTCCAATACTCCAGGAGGACGTCACTGGGAAGCTAAGGGAGACTCACCCAATACAAGGGATTCTCCTGGCCTTGGGGCTTACCTTAACCCTCTGCCTAACCATTCTATCAGCTGCATCCATGAGGCTGGTTAAAGGAGAACTGAGCACTACAGTCTAAGGTCTGCAGCTAACCCTCACTGCGCCAAGTACTTTTCTATTTTCTATTATCTTAGCTGCTCACAGGTACCAACTGTGCTGCGCGGGGCAGGTCTCCGAGGAGCGGGGCTCCAAGACCACACTCTTAGATAGGGACTAACTTTTGCCTGCACGCACACACACACACACACCCTATACACACCGCAACCACGCCCCGCACCGATGAAGGGGCCCTACTTTAGATAAATATTAAAAACAAACACTTGCAGCTGGTTTTCAGTAACTCTCTGGGAACACGGTACTTCGCGCGAGCAACTAAGCCCTCCCTTTTCCGCTCCAGCGGTGTACACACAGAAAAACTTCTACTGCTCAACTGCTAACGCAGAAGAGTGGGGGAAAGTCAAAATGTGTCCGGGGATTAACCTGGCAGGGCTGAAGCAAGCAGACAGATTACCAAGAGCTCGCCCGCCCGTGTGTCCGTCCCAGAGAGAGCTAAGGGGCGCGTGAGAGCGCGCGGGGGCGGGGGCGGGGGCAGCCCCCAGCTGGAAGGCTTCAGAAAGAGGAAGAAGGGCACCACCGTTCCTTCTTGTCTAGCCACCAGCCTGCAGCCCTGCCGGCCGGCTCTGCACCGCGCCGGCGCTCACCTCCACAGCGGGCCCGCCCCGCACAGGCACCACAGCGCCAGGCCCCAAGCCAGCACGGGG